TTTTATTATTAAAAACAAATAGATAAATGGATTAGCAGATATTGACACACCACCTAGTCATGCAATATTTACATCTCTACCTAAAGTTAGAGAAATATCTAATTCAAATCAACTTCCGTTACAACCATTACAACCATTATTACAGCCAGTTTCACAACTACACTTACAAATATCTTCACAAATACCCTCACAGACATCTTCACAAATACCTTCACAAATGCATTTACAAATGCCTTCACAAATGCCTTCGCAAATGCTTTTTTCACAAATAAGCTCACAAATCCCTTCACAAATGCCTTTGCAAATGCCCTTACAAATTCCTTCACAAATACCTTTACAACCATCTTCACAAATACCATCTAATTTTTCAAATTATTCATTACAACCATCAACTAATTTTTTTTCACATTACCCTAATATTCCCTTACAAGTATTGCCAAAATTTCCTTTATACATACCATCAAATTTCTCTTCACAATTATTACCTTCTATCTCTTCACAACCTTATTTTATGCCATTTCCGATTTTGCCTAACTTATCACAAGAATCAACAATCTCTTCAAAATGTATTCCCGAATTTAAAGAATTTTGACTAATATAGATAAAGTTGAAAATGCGAATGGAGAAATTTTGGCAGGTTTATCAAAATTTCAAGATCATGCTATTCAAGTTAAGCAGATATGTAAATTAAATGATAAACAATTTGAATTAGTAGGAATTACTAAAACAGGATGGAAAATTGCATTGCAAGAGGCTTCTAAAGAATATAATTAATAAATTATAATAAATCCTGTTTAACAGAGTAGAATAATAATGGCATTATAGTATAAATAATATCTTTACAAATTATTAGATAAAGTGAATACTTAATTGAATAAAATTAATATAAATAAAATAAATATTCGATAATTAGTGAGACTCTAGATTTTAATATATAATAAATAACTAATCAGTTTCGATCAGCTTACCAACAAACATTAGTTACTAACAATTAATTCACAAATTAGGTCTATTTCACAAACGATTAGTTTAGACAAGTTTATATCATAGACAATATATTTTATCAACAGCTTATTTTACACTAATCTTAATAAGTATACCTTTTATTTCAATGATAATGACTAGTGTGTAAAATAAGCTGTCGTAAATATACTGTCTATGAAATAAATAAATTACCTTTTTCTAAACTCACAAATAATAAAAATTTATATATCAATTACTACTATCTTTTTTTTTTGTAATGTATATGATTTGATTTACAAGAGTAATTGTGTTTAAAGAGCTTAATATACACAGTTAAAAAGATTAAAAAAAAAGTGATCATGAAAAATATTGTATATTTGGTTCAGAGAATCTTGTAGTTGATCACAACTATCGGTAATATCAATAGTAATTAGCTGGTTAGAAAGAGGATCCAAGAGCGATTAATGATATAATATAATAAAATTTCAATATATGGGGACCTCCATAGCAAAAGGCGGCAGTAGGCAAAAAATAAAATTTTTAAACTCAATTTCTTGAAGGATTAAAGTATTGGAAATACAATTTTTGTAAAATTACAAAATTAAAATTTTTTGCCCACAGCCTCCTTTTGCTGTGGGGTTCCCATATAATGAATGAAATTTAAGAAGAGTCAAAGATAATATATATAATTAATGATGTTAAATTTAATATATTTAAGAAAAGATAACTTTTACTTTCACTATAGATCGCTGAAAAATGCTGACCTTAGTATTGAGATATGAGTGTTCTATTTTGATTCTCTATTACTGATATATATCCATAGTTACTAAAATATAACAAATATTCTGCATTTCAATATTTAACAGATTAGGAATATTATAGTATAACCATTCAATACCTTCAAAGCATAACGTTCATAGGCGTTATTTTGAAAATCGAGTCCTTCAAGAAAACCTTATATGTATGGTGCTCATGACGCACATCCTAACATAGCACATACGTATGTAATTTATACAGTTGATACTCCATAACGATAAGCGAACACTCTATAAGTGCATTTCACATGCGCTTTCCCTATAATGTTAAGCGCACATAATTTGAACGGTGTTACAAAAATTTTTGTGTTTAAATTTTCTTTGTAATGTTTTTTTTTTATTGTATCAGTATTCCTTACTATATTTGTCAATACGATTGTATATAGTGGCTGTGTATGGGAGATCTGGGTTTGGAACCACAAATCGTGGTCTGAGACCACAGAGCTTGGTCCAGGACCACTGATATTGGTCTGAGACTACAGATCTTGGTCCAGGACCACCGATATTGGTCTGAGACCACAAATCTTGGTCCGAAACAGCTAATCATGGTCCGAGACCGTCTTAGTCTAAGAATGTATAAATACGACGCTTGTGTTAATAGAGAACATATACATATTATAGATGGTCAATGAATAGTTAGTTAGTCAATTAATAACACCTTTTCGTTTCGATTAAATAAATACATTCCTTAATAACCCGCTATCATTAATTCCGAATCCCCTAATGAACATCCATTCCGCATAATCTATGCTTGCAACTCTGAGCTAATTTGTCCTCACGTTAGCCAAGTCTCTCCCATGGTGTAACAACAGTCTACGTAATATAGTTATTTAATATATTATGTATATTAGGTTATGAATTTTTTTTTATTTATAAAAAAAACATAAAGATAATGCTGTAAGTTATATTAATACTAGCCATTAATGTATAATACAGTCAGACCTCTCTAAGTGTGACCACACTTTAATAACGTGCATTTAGAGAATAACAAGAAAAAGTGCATTTACAGAGGTCAAGTATATATGTATTTGGGCCAGCACCTAAGCGTGCATTTAAAGAGGGTGTGCACTGTATTATGTAAAAGTGCATCCTCAATGCTCAATTTATCCTCATACACATTTTCAAACATATGCACTACTACAGTTCAGATTCAGAAGATGGGCC